AACACTATGTGGAAATCGAGGACATGTTACATGTGGCAATGAAGGTTGAGAGGCAATTGAAGAGGAAGGGGACATCTAAGCAACCTTTAGGTACTTCGACTCCTAATCCAATATGGAAATCGAAGTGGGATGACAACAACAAAAACGGGCTGCACCTAGAGGTAAAAATGATTGGCAAAAGGGCAAGGATGAAAACGCTAGCAAACCAATATCAAAATCGAAGGCACAATCATCGCGCAATCGAGACATCAAATGTTTTAGGTGTTTGGGAATGGGGCATATTACTTCTCAATTCCCAAACAAACGGGCGATGGTGTTGCGGGATAATGGAAAAATTGTGAGCGATAGTGATGGCGAGTTTGATGACATTTCGGCGTTGGAGAATGTTAGTGAAGAAGAAAAAGTTGAAGGGCCGGTTGGGGATCTACTAGTCACAAGGCGAGCTCTCACTACTCACGTCAAAGCGGATGACTTGGAGTTGCAACAGGAGAACATTTTTCACACTCGATTTGATGGTAGTAATTGCACTAATGTAGCTAGCATAGCTCTTGTAGAAAAATTGGGTTTAACATTGTTGAGACACACGAGACCTTATAAATTGCAATGGTTGAATGAGAGTGGCGAGGTGAGGGTGAATCGAAGGGTGTTACTTAATTTGTCAATTGGGAGTTATAAGGACGAGTTAGTGTGCGATGTGGTGCCAATACAAGCAGGACATATTTTATTGGGGCGATCATGGCAATACGATAGGAAGGCTATGTATGATGGGTACAAAAATCGATATAGTTTCATTAAGGATGAAAGGACCATTACTATTGTGCCATTAACACCGGCGCAAGTCTATGAGGATCAATTAAAATTGAGAAGTGAGGAAGAAAGGAGAGTAAAAGAATTAGAAAAAATGAGAGCAAATAATGAGTTGGAGAAAAAGAGAGAAAATGTTAAGATAGCCATTAGAGAGAAAAAGAGAGAGCAATCACAAGAGAGAAAAGAAAGAAAGTGCCCCGAGAGAAGAGAGAAAACACGAGCGAATTTCTTTGCAAAAGAGAGTGATTTGAGGAGGGCGGTAGTTGAGAGAAAAGAGATGATCTTGTTCGTTTATAAGGAATTACTCCTCAATTTTGAGAAAACTATCCCACCCTTCCCTAGTTTGGCTAAGTCTTTGTTATAGGAATTGACGATGTATTTTTAGAGGATGCACCAAGTGGATTGCCGCATATTCGAGGCATTGAACATCAAATTGACTTCATACCCAGAGCTGTAATTCCAAATCGACCGGCTTATCGAAATAATCCCGAGGAGACTTAAGGAGTTTCAAAGGCAAGTGGAGGAGTTAATGAGCAAATGATACGTGAGGGAAAACATAAGTCCTTGTGCGGTACTAGTTTTACTTGTGCCAAAAAAGGATGGAACATGGCGAATGTGCGTGGATTGTAGGGCTATCAACAACATAACGATAAAGTATCGTCACCCTATACCTAGATTAGATGACATGCTTGATGAATTACATGGTGCTTGCATATTTTCTAAAATTGATTTAAAAAGCAGGTATCATCAAATTCGTATGCGGGAGGGTGATGAATGGAAAACGGCTTTTAAAACTAAATATGGTTTATATGAATGGTTGGTTATGCCGTTTGGACTCACAAATGCACCTAGCACTTTTATGCGTCTAATTAATCATATTTTACGTGCTTTTATAGAAAAATTTGTTGTGTTTTATTTTGACGATATCTTAATTTATAACAAAGACTTAGAAGAGCATTTGGAACATTTAAAGTGTGTGTTAATTGTTTTAAGGAAAGAACAACTCTATGCTAATCTTAAGAAATGCACGTTTTGCATGGATAGAGTTATTTTTCTTGGTTTTGTGGTTTGTGCTAATGGGGTAGAAGTAGACGAGGAAAAGATAAAAGTTATTAGAGATTGGCCGACACCTAAAAGCATAACAGAAGTTAGGAGTTTTCATGGTTTGACTAGTTTTTATAGGCATTTTCTGAAGGATTTTAGCACTATCACCGCACCACTCACAGAAGTAGTTAAAAAGAGTGTAGGTTTTCATTGAAGGTAATGAACAGAAACTTGCATTTAATACTATTAAAGGTAGATTGTGTGAAACACCTATTTTGGCATTACCTAATTTTGATAAAACATTTGAGTGTGATGCATCAGGAATAGGGATTGGAGCAGTTTTAATGTAGGATCGGAGGCCTATTGCATACTTTAGCGAGAAATTGAGTGGAGCTGCTTTAAATTATTCTACATATGACAAAGAACTTTATGCACTTGTTCGAACTTTGGAGAATTGGCAACATTATCTATGACCGAAGGAGTTCGTAATACACACCGATCATGAGTCACTAAAGCACTTGCAGGGACAAGGTAAATTGAAAAAGAGGCATGCACGGTGGATGGAATTATTGAGACCTTTCCATACGTCATTCAGTATAAACAAGGTAAGGAAAATGTGATGGTAGATGCGTTGTCGAGAAGGTACGTATTGCTAACTACTCTTAATTCTAAACTACTTGAGTTTGAACATATTAAGGAATTGTATGAAAAAGATGTTGAATTTTTGGATATTTATTTGTCATGCATAAAAGGGGCGGTTGATAGGTTCTTTAGGTATGAGAGGTATTTATTTTGGGAAAATAAATTATGTGTTCCTAATTGTTCTATTCGGGAGTTGTTAGTAAGGAAGGCACATAGTGGTGGATTGATGTGACACTTTGGGGTTCAAAAGACTTTAGATGTATTGAAGAAGCCTAAGATGAAAAGTGATGTTGAGCGAATTCGTAGCCGATGCATAGGTTGTAAAAAGGCTAAATCTAAAGTTTTACCTCAAGATTTGTACACATCTTTACCTACACCTAGTGAGCATTGGGTTGATATCTCGATGGACTTTGTTTTGGGTTTAACTAGGACTAAGAGAGATCGGGATTCTATTTTTGTGGTTGTAGATAGGTTGAGCAAAACGACACATTTTATACCATGTCACAAAACTGACGATGCCACGAACATTGCAGACTTATTCTTTAAAGAGATTGTGCGTTTACATGGAGTTCCTAGAAGCATAGTGTCGGATCGGGATGTCAAATTTTTGAGTCACTTTTGGAGAGTTTTGTAAGGCAAGTTAGGCAGTAAGTTACTATTTTCCACAACTTGTCACCCACAAACGGATGGACAAACCGAGGTAGTGAATAGGACTATGACACAATTGTTACGTACAGTAATCAATAAAAATTTGAAGAGTTAGGAGGAGTGTCTACTATTTGTTGAATTTGCATACAATCTGATGTTCACTCTATTACGTCATATTCTCCATTTGAAATTGTATATGATTTTAATCCACTAACTCCTTTGGATTTAATTCCTTTACCTGTGAATGAACGTGGTAGTTTAGATGGCAAAAAGAAGGCGGAATTGGTTAAGTCACTCCATGAAAAGGTAAAAGCGTAAATTAAAAATAAAAGTAAGTTGGTTGCGTCACAGGCAAACAAAGGTAGGAAGCGCGTAGCATTCGAGTAAGGAGATTGGGTTTGGGTGCACCTTAGGAAGAAGTGGTTTCCTGAGCAAAGGAAGTACAAGTTGCAACCGAGGGGCGATGGTCCATTTCAAGTGATTGGAAAGATAAACGACAATGTTTACAAGTTGGACCTTCCAGGTGAGTACAATGTTTCGGCTACTTTTAATGTATCCGATCTCTCTCTGTTTGATGCAGGTTTAAATTCGATGACGAATCCTTTTGAAGAGGGAGGAGATGATATGATCCAGGAGTCGAGCCCGACGAAGGCGAGTGCGAGACAAGACCCGTTGATAGTCGATGACGGACTAATGACGCGATCAAGGGCAAAGCAAGTGAAACAAGCGATAAGATTGCTCGTTCAAGAAACCATTGATGGAACCATGTTCGGGACTCAAAATGGAGCAATTTTCATGTTCGGGTCAAAAACCGAATCAACTTGGATCAATTTGTTATTTAGCGACGAAACCGGAAGCTGAAAACAAGTCACACAGGCAAAACACCATACGACCGCATGAAGGCTTACCGAAACTCAAGGAGCCAACCGGATTGAACCATGCGACTGCATGGAAATACAGTATGTGGCCGCATAGGCCATTTTTTTTTGGCAAATTTCCTATTTTTGGTATTTTTCCATATTTTGTTAGTTTTGATTTTTTTTTCCCATATTTTGGGGATTATGCTCGACTTTTACACGATTTTTACCTAGTTTTTAGGTTTAGTATAAATAGGAGTTTTCATTCAATTGTTAAAAACTTTTGACATTATTGATATTGAATTAAAGCGAGGCGTATTGTCTTTTCTTTATCGTTCTTCATTGAACAATTTCAAACTTATCAAGTGTTAACTTGTGGCGTTCAAACAACCAGATTTAATTCTTGGATTGCGTGATCAAGGAGTCTTTCAAGCATCGTTCTTGTTGGATTTTTTGGTTCGACTTTCTTTTAGGTTAATCATAAACTCTTGGATTAATTTGACTTTTTTGAGTTCGTCAATCTCGTTGTGGATTTCGTAGTCAACGTTGCTACGGGGTTCGCATCAAATAGGAGGGAAGAATTAAAGAAGAGATGTTGGCGAGAAAAGTAGCGAAGTCGGTGAAGGAAGGCGACGGGAAGGGATAAAACGGGACCAACTGGATTTGGGTTTAGGAGGAAGTGGGGCATCGGGGTGGGAGGGAAAAGATGAATACATTAAATAGTGATTATGTTTTGAATTTTATTTTATTTTTTAATGATGAAATGTTACCACTTTTACCTATTTTAAAATTGGTCAAAGTCATATTTATTGGGTCAACTAGTGGTCAAACTAACAGAAATCATCTATCTGGGATCTAGGTGCTAGATTTTGAAAAATTTGGGGCTGTGATTGGCATAAAGTGAAAATTAAGGTAAAGTATGCAAAAAAATGAAAGGATGAGGACCGCTGCTGCAATTATCCCCTATTATTTTCGCATTTAACCAGTATCTGGAAGTAAATGTGCGAAACCCCTCTCAGCACGCGCCATATACATACACAGTAACACACTATCTTTGTACGGCAACGGTTAGGGTTTTGTTTTCTGATTTTCACACAGAAAAAACAAAGACAAAACCTTGAAGCTGTAACCGCCGATTGATTCGACCGACGAGAAATTGGCTCTTATCTTCTCTTGATTCTTGAAAAAATGGCGAAGGAAATTAAGGAATTTCAGTTGTATAACAGTATGACGAAACAAAAGGAGTTGTTCAGGCCTAGGGTTGACGGCAAGGTCGGAATGTACGTCTGCGGGGTCACCTCCTACGACCTCAGCCACATCGGTCACGCCCGCGCCTATGTGGCTTTTGACGTACTTTACAGGTATACGCGCGTCTGTCTGCACTTAAGTTTATTGTGAATCAAAATATATGGGTCTGTTTATTTAGAATCAATATTTTAAAATTCCTGTTTTTGTTAAGTTGCAATTGATATTAATTTTTTTTTTTTAAATGATATTCTTGTTATATGTGTATTGTATTTAAATTCTGGTTAGAAGTTATATATGTTTTATTTGAAACGTGATCTGTGAAAAATTGATCCTTTTTTTGCTAAGTCGCCCTTTTTATTTATTATTATTATTTATTATTTATATTTTGTGGGTACTAGAAGATATTATGGTTCTTATGTGCTTGGTGAATCTGCTGGTGTGGCCTCACACACACACACACACACACACACACACACAGAGAGAGAGAGAGAGAGAGAGAGAGAGAGATGGAAACCAAAAACACAGAGAATTTGGGAATATTCGAATTAATTAGGCTATTTGGTTTGCATTTCAGTTTTGAATTCATTTTCGGTATATGCTTTGAGGGATTGTATTAAGATTGCAGAAAACTCGTTTGGTTTCTCATTTTGAAAAACTATTTCTCAAAATAGAAAATTGGAAAGCACATTTGGTTCGGAATTTTTAGAAATCGAATTATGACATTTTATTCAATGAATCGCCATAAAAGTGTTACTCTTTTCTTCCCATTATTTCTGATCCCCTGCAATCTAGCAGTCTTTAAATCCGTTTCGCCAGCATTAACTCACCAAAAGGAATTTTCAATAAGAGACAAAACAAAAGAAAACCCAAAGAACCTAATTTCTGAAAATAATAAATTTTCTCAACCAGTCAGATGAATAAAATTAAGAAAAAAATAAAGCAAACCTCAATTCTTCAGAGACGGAGAAAAAAAAAATCTTATATGCATAAACTCATTAATTAACTAATCAATACCAAACTACAAGCAGATAATCAAGTAGTAGTACCAAATCTTTTCTATATGATCTCAATATCCCGATCCCATTTTATATTTCTTGTTGTACTAGCTCTATAAGTAGAAACTAAGTTAGATAATATTTTCTTAAGCTCAAAACTTTTCCTTGAATGAAGGTCCAAAAAAAGCTCTCTTTTATGGCAATAAAGGATTTTGGACTTAGTTATCTTCCAACTGAAGGATTGCACGAGGCAGTTTATTTATTTTGGCTAAGTATGCCAGAGTTCACACTGCAGATTTTATTTGGGTGGGAGAGACTACGTAGATTAACACAAATATTGCCACACAAAGTGTGTAGGTTGAGATATACCATGAAAAATGGAGATGCAAATTTTAGATAGAATGTGCATCTTTGATAAATGATCTTAATATACAGACACTGTTTTAATATCAGAAGCAGCCCCTTAAATGTGTGGAATTGCCAGTGGTTTATTTTTTCTTTAATTTTTTTTTAGTGTTAACATAGGCTATATCCACATATGTTCTTTATAGTTTCTTGGATAAATTTCCTGCTATCCTAATTAATCCAACATCCCAAGTCAAATTTGTGGCTTTCACCATCTCACAAACTTCTCTAATTCATGGCCGTTACTCTTTTATCAGTTGCATCAGGTCCCGTCATCAATAGGTTTCTTATGAAATTGATCCCATTATGCTACATGTTTTCTCATACTTAGTGGCTTGATCACATTAATAATGCAAGCATGCAACAAAATGAACTTTGGTCAATTTTTTTGTGTGCTTGAGTAGTACATATATCCTTCTAAGCCAATCATGAAGCTCATGGCCTATTAAACTTATTTGTTTGTGGCTTGAAATAATGTTTTTCGTCTATGATGCAATACCCCGAGACGCTGTGAGCTGTGCAAATTTCACAAGTTCCAACTCTTAACTCAACCAAATAGAGTTAGCTTGTGAGATGTCTCTTACAACTTGCATTATCATTCACATTACGACGTGCAAATAATTATGATCATCTACATGAATCTCTTCAAAAGCTTACAGTTGACTGAAGTTAAATTGCTACTTTTTTTATTGTGTTGAGTAATTTACTACAGTAACCAGTCAGTCATGTTAGAAGTTTTTCTGCAATGCTTTCATTGGATTGCTACTCTCTTTATTATGGTGAGTAGTTTAATTAACAATAATCCTAGGACGTGTTATGCAATGCTTTGGCGGGTATTATCTGTTTAAATGCACTTCAAGTCTGTTTAATTCTTTGCAAATATTGGTCATGAATTCAACTGTAGTATTATTTGCCTGGTTCCAGTGTTAAACTAACTTTGGTACAAAATCTAGTTTTATCTAGTGATGTATTTTTTTGCCTGATCTACTGTCTATATCCCTTGATTTTTTTATTATTCCTACTGAATTTATTTTTGTTTTTGAAGTACAGATATCTAAAATATATTGGCTATGAAGTTGTCTATGTCCGCAATTTCACCGATGTTGATGACAAGGTGAGAAGTCCTTGACTAATTCTTAATGTCTATGAGATTGTAAACTATCCCGTTCATTTCGCATTTCATTAAAAAAGGTGAAAAGGATAATAAAAATAAATAGTCCACTTAAGATCTCGAGTTAAAATAAGAAGGTAAACAATGTAAATGACATGACCCGGCCTATGTTTATGTAACAAAAGCAAAGATCTTATGAAGAGCATACAATTTAATAAAATATAAATCTATAAAATCTAGAGTAGGGCAAGGGAGCATGCTGGCATGGTGAAGCATTTGTTGAACATTGTTAAAATTCGTTGCCTTTCCTTAACAAATATATCCATAAAAGTGAGTTTTTTTCCTACCTAGTACACATACACGATCATAAGGCTACTGTATTCATATTTCACATAGCTTGAAAAAAGAAAAAAAGGGGGGGGGGGGGGGGGGTGGGGGGGAGTAAAAAGAAAAAGGGAAGGGGGGGGGGGGTGTTCTGAAGTGAACATTAAACTCCGTTGGGAATGGGAGATAGTTTTTCTGAGTTTGGCTACGAGCAAGAAAGACTTATTTTGTGTGTGGGCTTAGATCCATGAAAAAATTATGAAAATGTGGAGATCAAATGGGGAGATTGACTTCATTGACCTGGAGGACCTCGGATGATAGCAAACCGTTATCTCAGTGTTCTACCGTGACATGGAATAACTGTATAAGTTGTATTGTGGTTTCTTATCGATGGTTATTTCCAGATTATTCGTAGAGCAAATGAGCTTGGGGAGGATCCGATAACTTTGAGTGCTCGGTTTTGTGAAGAATTTCTTGCTGACATGGCTGATATCCAGTGCCTTGTTCCCACCCATCAGCCACGCGTGACTGAACATATGGAGCAAATCAAGGATATGATAACTAAGGTTGTTTGCTTCCCACAATTCTCCTTTCATTTTTGAAGAACTTCAATCTCCAAATCTTGAATAAGATCTCTTTTTCCATGTTTTCTGTGTATATGTTCACCTGCATGCTCATGATGTAAAAATCAGGCACAAGCGTTTTTGTTAACTATCATTTTAATTTAATAGAATATTTTTATGGTATTTACTTAGAGCAGTATAACTTGGTTTCTTGTGTAATCTGAACCACACATGTTTGGCGTGGTTCTAATGTTGTATCATGATATTGTTATGTTTGTTTCGTTTAATAAAATTAGTACAATTTCCATAGTTAAAATAAATATCTCATTTCTTTCTTTCTTTTTCATCATGATGTTGAGGAGCGGGCTGCAAGGTTTCTGGACCATATTGAGAAATATGAAAGAAGAATATTTTGTGTTAGCTATCCTCTCTTTTGGATTCATCATCAATTATTTCTGTAACTTGGTCTGATCTGCAGATTATCAACAATGGTTGTGCTTATCATGTTGAGGGTGATGCTTACTTTGCTGTCGATAAATACCCAAATTATGGCCGTTTATCGGGGAGGAGGCTAGAAGATAATAGAGCTGGGGAACGCGTTGCTGTTGATGAGAGAAAGCAAAATCCTGCTGATTTTGCACTGTGGAAGGTGAAAAGGGCTTGCCAAAATCACTTTCTTAGTTTCTTAGTATGTACTGGATTAACCCATGTAAACCCTGAACTTTTCATTTTCCTTTAAGGCTGCAAAGCCAGGTGAGCCGAAATGGGACAGTCCCTGGGGTCCTGGAAGACCAGGATGGCACATAGAGTGCAGTGCAATGAGTGCTCATTATTTGACACACGCATTTGATATTCATGGTGGTGGGATGGATTTGATATTTCCCCATCATGAAAATGAGATAGCTCAGAGTTGTGCAGCTTGCCCTGAAAGCAATGTTAATTACTGGATACATAATGGTTTTGTCACTGCAAATGATGAGAAAATGTCAAAATCACTTGGAAACTTCTTCACCATTCGTGAGGTAAAAGGTGTAATTATAGTGATTTTCTATTGATACTGTGGACTTAAAATTTATTTTCTGAGGAGCATTGCTGTTAAATACAGTTTTGTTTATAGGTTACGAAGGTGTACCATCCACTCGCATTAAGGCATTTTCTTATGGGAACCCACTACAGGTCTCCTGTTAATTACACAATTTCTCAATTAGAAATTGCATCAGAGGCTGTTTTCTACGTATATCAGGTGAAAAATCTAAGTGCGTAATGTTAAATGTTGATTGAATATGCTTGTCTATGCGTTGATGGTCAATATTTTATGTTTGTATTGTCATATTCCGCATCCATTATTTCACGTTTATTTAAAAGGTGACTTATCTTGTTGAACTTGGATCAACAGACTATGGTTACTGTGGTATTTTCATGTTTTTAGCGCTGTCCTTCAGCCAGGCAGAAACTATATGATATCTGTAATGATCATAGGTCTCTAACTTTTATATCTTTTATTTTCTGTTTTTATTGTTCCCTTGATAAATTAATTTAATTGGAGATGTGCAAAATGTTAACCTTACGGATACTTGATGATCATGCTCTGATGAAATGTGCTCCAGCCTTGGTAATTATAAATCATTTTGCCTCGCTAGGCATGAATACACACAAACATACACCGAAGCCAACATTTTCAGATTTCTTTCCCAGTCATATTATACACAAAATTGGCATATTCTTATTTCACACAGAGTTGTGTTGTGGTTATTTACAGACCTTACAAGACTGTGAAGAAGCTTTGTTGGAATTGAAAGAAGAGGCTGAAAAAAATGGCAAAATCAGCCCTGCTGCCCAAGAATGTATCACTAAACTGCATGAAGAGTTTGAGGCAAAATTGTCTGATGATTTGCACACGCCAACCATACTTAATTCTGCTCTGCAAGAATCCCTGAGATTTATGAATAGTTCTTTAAACATGCTCAAGGTAGGATTTTTTATAAAGATCATACTTGCCCCCAATTTATTTTGTGCAACTTTTTCCTTGTGGGCCTCTTTTTTGTTGTATATCTGAAATATTTGCTTCTTTTTTTTTTTTGTTTTGCCAGAAGAAACAGCCAAAGAAACAACAACTATCGACAGTAAAGTCTCTTGCTGAACTGGAGAAACAAGTCAAGGAAGTTTTAGATGTTCTGGGGCTGCTGTCAAATTCAAGATATACCGAGGTACTTCCAAAACTACTGTCATATTTTTATACATCTCTGACTATTCTGATGCTGTAACATATTGGATGTTTCGTCATACAGGTTTTGCAGCAACTAAAAGATAAAGCTTTGAAAAGGGCTGGGTTGACTGAAGACGATGTTTTGCATTTAATTGAGGAGAGGATGCTAGCCAGGAAAAACAGAGAGTTCTCGAAAAGTGATCAGATTAGGAGTGACTTGGGTGTTAAGGGAATTGCATTAATGGATGTGGGAAAGGAAACAGTTTGGAGGCCTTGTGTGCCAGTCCAGCAAGAAAGGCCTGATGTTCCAGTTCAACAGGAAAAGCCAGTTGAACTGGTTAAACAAGAAAATCCTGTCATTCCAACAGAGAAAGGTCAGCCAGCTGTGCCAGCCGGTGAGGAGCAGTAAACAGCTGTTAAAGAGTTATTAACTGGTAATTTTTATTCTTAATCATAGATCATGCATGTACTTTTTGTAACATTTGAGATTTTGCTTCACAAAAAATGTTCCATAATTGGTGCTTACGGCCCTATACATTTTGGGTGCCCATAGATTTACACAGTGGTCTGGTAATTGATTAATACAACAGCAATGCTGGACCTTTTAAACATTCTATATATAATCTTGTTTCTTGGCAAATTTGTGATTAGTGTAATTCTCTGTTCTTAGATATGAATATATGAATCCTCACAACTTATCGGGTATATTGATCTTTCTATGTAAGGAATGAAGACTGCCATTTTGTATAGCATGTTGATGAAGATAACCATGGTTATGTGAACATTGAAGTAATTTGGATATTTTCTTCTTGACGTCGTTCATCTCTAAAATGAAATGATCGCGCAGTTTTTGGCATGTTGGATTTGCTTAGGTTAATGCTGTGGATAGGCTTATGTTTGGCTAATGTTTATAACCTGTTTATAAACATTCAAGTTGCTTTTTGTCCACAATTCGAGGAATCAACAAGTATTGCTCATTTGTTCATCACTAATTCTATCTATTTATATTTTAAATTGTTCATAAACACCTTTTAAACATGCTTTGAAATGGTTTAATTGCTCTCATTATCAATGTCGTAAAATTGAAAATGAAAATGAAAATGAAAATTTGTAGAATCATAAACGAAATTACAATGAATGACATGTTTTAGTAATTTTAATCTATAGTTGTACATGGGCGATAAATGTCAAACTTTTTGTCCTTTAATTGCCTAACATTATCAAATTATCCATCCGGCATTGCTTTAATCTAAGAGAACCACGAGCTAATTTGTCTCGCTCAAAATATTACTATGTTTGGTAGTAAATCGTTTTCGCAACAAATGCTTTCTCCAAGCCTATCCTGTAATAGGCCAGGTTTGGTTGGGATTTCCGCTGTTCGTTCAGTCTAGGTTTGCTACAAACCTGACCTTTGGTTGCATGTACCCTGGTGGTGTGAAACTGCCTTCATGATGGTGCTATGTTCTATGTTCTATACGAAGCTATTACAGGGTTTGCGGTACTTGACATATCTGATTTGATGTGGGACTCGTCTTGTGGTGAAGTCCACATTGGTAAGGATGTACATCACGTTTGGCACATCATATTCGATCTCATTTAGTGAATCGTATAGAATTAATATGTTAAGTGGGTTGAAACCATCTCCATTTCATAAATTAAGAATTATTAGTAAAAAAATTCACTTACACGGATTTCTAATGCGGTGTAGAATCAAACGCCGTATTAGAACAATCCTTTATAGAAGTCAAGTTCTTTTACAAAACTAATTTTCAAAATTTAGTTAAAATTTTCTTTTTTTTAATCATTATAATAAAACAGCCGGCTTTACCACATAAATAAAAAAGAAAACAAGTCGTAATGGGGCGGCTAACGAATTATAATTATATTGCCATCAATTTGATCCATACCCTGGAAAAAAGGGTATGATCATGAAAGCTGCCCAACAAACCTCATGAAGTTGTAGGAATCTGATCCCACCATAAACGCCTAAATCACAAAACATGTCTTCTTTGGTCCCTTATAGTGCCATCTTCATTAGGGCACATTGTATAAGTGGAGCACACTTCATCGAATTTCCTTTCCAATTTTCTCTCATTATATAAATATTCATTTAGCCCATGTTTGAGCATCATTATTTCTATCAAAATATATTTTTTAACAGTGATTTGATCCAATTTCAACCACATATTTTTCATTAAAATAATATTGTACGCAAATCAAAAACTTTTATTTACTTTTTAAACACACATTTTCCATCAATACATTATTCAAAAATGCAATTTTTGACAAGAATGTGGCTCAAACTAGGGCTTAACGTGGGTTTTTACCATCACAAAAGGCACCAACAAAGATGAATTATTAGTAACACTGACTTTTTCCTTTTGGAACAATAAAATATGGGACGAATTTTGTAGGAAAATGCAAGCAAACTCCTGCATCGACAAGATATATGATAGAAGAAAAGTTCATGAGAAAATTAGATGATTTCACATAATAGGTTAACTTTTTGGAATGAAATTCCAACTTAGGTGGTATCGAAGTCAAGTAGATTTTGACTAATTAGCAAAATGTAGCAAATCTTCATCAAGAACAATGCTAATAGTAACAAAAGATTGGAAAATGTGAAATTTTGTAACTTTCATTCTTGAAATGACCTGACATGATTGCTCTTATCGTCCGAGTTGAGCAAAATTCAAAAGTTTAACAAGGAAAAAAAAAATCTATGATTATGCTTGCAAATTCCTCTTTTATTTCATTAACATACATGCACCAATCGTCATCAAAGCTTCAAAAGAAACTAAAAGATCCAAACTACTTTATTATTTAGTGTGTTTCTTGATAATTAATAATTTAACCTAACTTTGAATTCCCCACATTCGTTATTACTAATTTGTCATGATTATTAGTAATAATTGATGACCCGGCAATATAAAATACTACAAATTAGTAATTGCACTCAAATTTTGATAGACCTTTTCGGGTTAAATGAAAAGGGTTTATACCTTTAGTCAACATACCTCCCATTTAACTTAATAATTAAAAAAAATCAAATAATTCTAATGGTTCTCTACTTATTTTTTCTCTTCTTATTTGTATAAACATTCACACAAATTATAAAACATAGTTTATTAATTCATTTCTTACTTTTACTTTCCTCTAAATTGCCCCACGAGGAACAAATTCAGAAAAAAAAAAATTATATTATTGAATGTTGACAAATAAAGAAAATGTTTATTTTTAAAAAGATTTTTATTTTTTTTCTTTTTAAAAATTGCACTTGCTCACCTGGAACTAGGTATAGTCTAAAGCAAAGCATGCAAAGTGGCAACATTTTTTAAGGGATGCAATCGTATCTTGTGCTTTTGGCCATGCAGTTTTGGATTTTCAAATGACATTTATTTGTGGGAAGATTTAGGTTAGAATATGAATATTTTTTGGTGATTATCGACTTGGGATTATCTTGTCTTCGTGCTTACACGTAAGTAAGCTTCCTTTAACACACAATCCACTAATAATTTTGGTTGCTGACTGCTGCAACAACCCTACAACTCACAAATTTTATTTCATTTTAATATTAAATGATATTAAACATAGAGTTTTTTAACTTTTTTTAATAGATTCTTTTCAATATTTGTCATGTACACCAACTTAAAAAACATACCATCACTTTACCCCCTCTTTGGCTCATATTTTTCAAAATCCAGTATTTTAAAAATTTTCAACCACACATTTTAACAAAATTTATTAAAATTTTGATTTTATCTCTATCACACATGAATTTGTTTAGTGGTATATAATGGGGTGTATCAAATGGTGTACACCCCCACTCACATGGGTGTGAGACCCATTTGAAAGAAATGATATTTTATTCAAGTGAGTCATTCGTCCATGTGAGTGAGGTGTACACCATTAGGTACATTCCGATGTACCACTAGCAAAATCGATCACACATAAGCTTACAAAGTTCTCTGGTAGAGTCAAAGCTGAAGTATTGAAGTAGTTTTCTTTGTTTTGGCTTAAATTTTACTCTTGAGCTTTTAGTCACTTGCTCAACATCACACTACACGTGGAAGACCATAAATGAAAATGAAGTTTGACAAAAAACACAAATTACTTCTGTATTCAACGAAGTTGTCAATCCTAAAGCTAGGAAAATTGTTCTGAATGTGAATATGGTCCCATAGTACATGTGCATTGAGATCCAAGAATACGTAACATATACGAATAAGAACGAGACTTGAGAAGATAGGAGAAAGAGAGTTTGAAAAAATTAGAGAGAAAAATCAATAATCAAGTCTTAGTATTACTATAAATATACCCTCTTTATATAGGATTTATCCAACTAGATCGAATCTAATTTAAGAAAGAAACAAAGGAAATAAAGTCTCATTTAAGTCAAACTAAAAAGTCTAAAAAAATAGAAAATTAAAATGAAAAAATCTAAATAAAACTATCTTTGTTCCTAATTAACTAAAGATATTATTATCTTCAATCCTCATATTATAAGACAAACTAAAAAGGTGGTTCCCATATTTCTAGTCTATTTCAATTCTTGTTTCAGTTTTCTAACCTAAGAGCATGTTTGACTGATCTTAAAAAGTATAATTTACTCTAAGTAAATAATTATGTTCATAGAAATGCGTAATCTTTTATTGATGAAATTTAGATATAAATAATTTTTTTACCATAAATTAAAAGTTTCCATAAGCAATTTTACTACAATAAGCAGGAAAAAAAAAAGTAAAGTATTTAAACATATTTACTGACAACTTTTAGTTGTTTTAAGCTTGGCAATATATGCTCTAAGTAATAGATTATATATTTTGCTCTAAGCTGGCACTAAAGTTTGGACATGGTAAAAATGTGATCTTAATTTTGTCACATCAAAGTAATTAATGATTATACTCCCAACCTATGTGTCCAGAAAGTCATATTTATGGGTTGTCAATATTGGTTTTGTTAGACAGATTAAAATATGATTATGTTAACATATGTTGTGTTTGATAGAATTGAATAAAATAAACTTATGTCTTAAAATTATATTCAATTTAAATATACCAAATATGTGACAAAAATCTTAAATATAGTATTTCGAGTTCCAAACATGGCCTTTTTTTTTGTTCATACATGTACTACGTAGGATGATTTTATATTCACTATATTTGCACATGAAGGTACAACTCAATCAATATTTTACATTCTAATATTTTGAAAACTGGGGGTAATTTTAAAATAGTTAGAAAACCGAAAATCCTCATGAGAAAAAAATAAATGAATAAATCTGAATATGTACATTTTCTGGATAATTGATAAATTAACATGGGCTTGGGCTTTCCAGCTGGTTAACAAAGATGTAAAACACAGCTTCGGCTCTTGATCCTCGTGAAGTCCCAGGTACTGGCTATTGGCTAAGCCAACCCTATAGCCTAACCTGATCTCACGGCGCGGCTGGCGCCAGGCTAAGATGCAAATCAAGCCCAAATCCATCATCTAAACTGGGCCCATCGTCTGCCCTAGAGAATCTACTTAATGAAGGCCCATCTAACCTTCCATTATGGGCCTTGATCGCTTGAGGCCCAATACCAGTTAAGCTGGACTCACCAACACTGCTGGTATACGATAAGTTCCCTGCACCCCTCCCTGTTGACCATGTGGGGAACACGCACCCATGCGATACCTGGAAGGGCTGCGCGGCGCGTGGAACGTACAACCACGGCGTGGACGAAGATGCAGGGGCTGAAACCATCACAGAGCCAGGCGGAGCAAGGAGGTTGGTCGGCGGAGCAAAAGCGGAGACTATGGGGTTCCGCATGTAGGATACGGCAGCGTTTCTACTAGCTAGCATTTGTGCACGTTTCAACTGTTGCCTCTCTTTCTTATGAGCATTTTGGTGACCACCCAGAGCTTGTGAATTGGCAAACTCCCGGCAGCAGTACTGGCACTCGTACTTCCGGCCGTCGGAAGTTGGAAAACTTCCGGAATCCGGCGAGCTTGATGGTGTTTTGGTGGAGTCTACTTCTTCTTCTTCAGTTACGCTGAAACCGAAGAGTTTTAAGCGTCCATTACTTATGTTGTTATTGCATGGTTTTCTTTGATACTCTAACTCTTCCATGATATATAAATTATATGTATGTATGAAAATTCTAGAGAGAGACAGAGACACAGAGAGAGTAAAATTAAGGGGTGGTTTAAGAGACTTGTTGCATATTGTGGGGGTATTTATACAAGTTCAAAAGTTCTCTTCACAGTGTAGAGAGAGAGAGAGAGAGAGAGAGAGAATTGGGGTGGGGGCTGCGGACATCCCAAGAAGAAGATAGTAGGTGTAAAAATGGGAACACGAACATGCAACACTTGGGCACCAATAGATTGTACTTGTCTTCTTGACACCATCATTTTTCATTTTCTCACTAATTGGGAAGTTACTGAAGTATCCTCAAATACTTCGCTCGATTGTGAAAAGATATTGAAGCATGCTACACGTGCAGGAAAATTTCACATAACACTTACATGAACAATACTTGGCTAATTTTCATTGAAAAAAAAAATAATAATAATAACAGGTGGACAAAATACTACCATGACAGCATCCTGTATGAATTCTGTGAAAAATAACATGTACTTGAGGCTTAAATCAAAAATATTGGCCATATAAGCAAAATATATGGTGTTTCAATTTAAATACAATTTCAGGAATATTTGTCAAGTTGATAAACAGAAGATATGAAGAGCTCTATTCATATTTAGAGAGCTCGGTTAGACATTGTCAATTAATAGCAATATTTATGTTTCTTGTGGATCATTGATGTGATTTTATTTTTATTTTAAGCAAATAATGAGGAATCGACAGTCCCCTAATCCCTTCTTTGGGGATTCTTTTTCTATATGCTATCTCAGCGGGCAAGAGAAATGTGCTTTCTTTTTTATTTTATCGTAGAATTTTCGAAGGTATCTTGTCTGGAGATTAATTTTAGACTTGACTGTCTATTCATTAGACTTTAGTACCACGTACACATCAAGTCTTCAATTTGCATACTGTCTAGACGATAATTCATAAAATGCAATGACAAAGTTTTGGAATTTGGAAGCGAGTGGGAAGTCATTTTGCTGTTGAGCAGAACTTGATGAAGTGAAGATTTGATTTAAGTGAATGTTGTAGGGTTGGTTCAACTATCAACTCATTGATTTTTCTTGCAACCTTAATTTCTAACTCTTTGTTAGGAAACAATACTATCCACTTCATTATGCACAATATCCAAAAGAGAAACAAATTTCAAAGTAACCATTAATTAAGGGAAGGTGTTAATAGATAATATAATGAGATTTTTTTTTTTTTTTTAATTTAGTTCAATCCAAATTACCGTATTAAAAATATGTGCAAATGTAGCAACATAGTGACAATTGTCATCACAGAATGGCTAAGATAAAAATAATAATAATAATAATAATAATAATAATAATAATAATAATAATAATAATAATAATAATAAGAAATTATATCTTATACTTAATAAGTTTGGAGTACAATATGTTTGTCTTTCCATTGAGTTCATCACTTCAAAATTAGAAAATTGGTGTTATAAATGAATCCTAATAATCTTATGCGACGTATATTGAAAATGTTAAAAGAGAAATTGATGTGATCAACTATTGCACTTTGCACGACTATCTAATCACAATCAATAATCATCATTAACAAAATTTAATTTTTTATTAATAAAATTCATGCTCCACTTCTCTTGGTTGACATTAAAATAGGCTAAGAATAACGTTAGTAGGGAAAACCTAATGTTAATTAAATTATTAAATCCTAGAAAACCAACATGCCCCCCAAAATGATAAGGAATACTTTAAACCTTGAAATGGAGAGTACGATGTTCAACTAGGGTTCTTTATGGAAGCATTCCAATAACAAATTGTCACGTCCTCCCCCAACATATGCACAAATAAGAGCTCTTCTATTAGTCCTAGTATCAAGTAGCCATTTCGAGGCACGTGCCACATGGTCTGATGCTCTAAAATGGCAAGAAAAAACAATTCATTACGAGTAATATTATGTAGTATTACTAGAATTCGATCATAGAATAGGTCTTATATCTCTACTTTTCATTCAATCTATGGTGTTACGTAGTAATATTCTTTTATTACAACAAAAACGCACAAATCAGGTGGTACGTGAAAAAATGTGGTTTGATGGTCTAATGTGGCAAGAAAATGGTTGAATCAAATCTTTCACGTACCACTTTTTGCGTAAAATGAAGTAAAAAGACTTGTAGTGGCTCTTCAAAATCTTCCATTTACCATTTTTATTCGAGGAACTTAATGCTGTCGTGCTTTAAAAAATACAAATCTTCTCTTACTTATATTTTTATTTTCTTTAATTTATCTTATTTCAACGCTTGCATTGTCTTAATTATAAGTAGCCAAGACAAGCCAACTACCTTTCTCTCTCTAAATTTACTAAGAGTTTTAAAAAATACGCCCATTATTACTTACAGAATATTATGTATATGAAGTAATGAAAATAATCAAATGTACATATAGTAAACAAAATCTGACTTTATATTAGGGGTGAACGCGATTCGATTGGAGCGGTTTGTGCTATATATCAACTCAAACCATTTTATGCGTTTTGAAATTTTTTTAAATCAAACCAAACCATTTTATTTTTCGAACCAAATCAAATCAAACCATAATTTTTGGTTTGGTTCGATTTTAATCCGCAGTTTACTTTTCGACATTATAGTAATTGTATTTAACGTAAGTTAAATACAAATTTAAACAACTTTATAATGTTAAATGTTAAATTACATTCATTTTTTAAAGTTGTATGTTAAAATATATTACTAGAACAAATAGATATTTCTTCATTTTTATTATTTCTTATTTGACGTTATAGCAGTTGGTAAAGGTAGAGTTATATAATGTTATTATAATTTGGTTAAAATTCATTTCGTCTTGTTGGTGAGATGTTAAATAAAGATTGAACATGATATTTTTAGATGTATAAAGATTTATAGAGTTTCAGCTTATTGAGAATTGACGAATTTCATCCTCTAACTACTTTATGAAAGTAGAAAGTAGTAGTACTAGTTGAGGAACTTTAACATTTTCACACAATCAATACGCCCCGTCCTTCATTCTTTTCAAATCACAAACAAGTTCATTAATCATCTTGGCACACAAACAATCATTTTTCTATCCAAATCACAACTCGAAAGTGTATAACAAGTTCAAAAAAATAATAATAATAAAAATAAAAGAACCATGAAAAAATTGCTTGAATAAGAATCTAAGACTTACTAAAAGAGAAGAGAGAAAGAGGCAATTCAGATAGAGATTAGTAGACTAATAGGCAAATGCGATTGGCAATTTGTTCAACAGTAACAAACAAGCCTCAAATGTTAAGAAAATGAGAATTTATGTTAGGACATCTAAAACTTTGGACGTAATTTGCTAACTTAGTTTTGTTGAATGTGATTTGGATTGTTGAAAATATATATATATATATATATTTTTTTTTTTTTCATTTCATATGATTTTGGAATAATTTTAATTTAATTTAGATATCAGGCTATATATATATATATATATATATATAATTTTGAAATAATTTTAGTTTAGTTTAGATATCGAGTGAGGACATGTGTTGTGAACCTGTTAAATCATAGGTCAATAATGATGAACCTAATTTATTTTCTAATTATTTTAATTGATTGATTGTAATTTGTATTGCTAAATTGATATATTTTTTTAAAAAAGTGAAAACTGTAGAATTTTTAAGTTAATAAATTTAATATTTTAATTAAAAAATTTAAAAACGGTTCCGTTCGATTTTGTACGATTTTCGTAAACCAAACTATTTTGAAATGGTTTGGTTCGGTTTGAGGTAAAAGAAATCACGGGTCCACGTGGACATGAACCAAATGGTTTCAACTCAAAGATTTCGATTCGATTTGCTATTTCCCGATTTTTTTGTGCAGCCCTACCTTATATGCATTAATATCTAGTATCTCGTTGTCGTCTGTCGACAACCATCTTTACATCATATTATAAATAAATAAGTGAGAATCAATCAACATAAAAAAAAAAAAAAGAGCAAAATAATTGAAAATAAGAAAGCCTCCCTTTTAGAGTAATTATTATTGACGTGTTTAACATGTCTAAATGACGAAATTCGACAGCAGAGTTGATGATTTTATGACATTTATACTTTCTTTAACGTGGTTGACGAGTTCAACGTACCAACATATATATTACGCGGGTATCCTATGACTTCTCACCAATGTTAATTTTTTTGTTATCAATATGGGAAATTTAGTCGAAGCATATGCTTACACACACATATAATGACATGTTTGAAAGAGTGTGAAATTTGAGGTGTTTACAACTTAGGATGGGACCCACCATTACGTGTTGATGATGAATTATTGTTTAGGATGTTTGCGTGATTGACGTTGAAATTAATTTTTTTTAAGCTTCGCTTTATATGGGAAAGATCTCCTCGAATCTTACTAACTACGCCAGAAAGAGAAGCAAATATTAATCAAATAATAATTATATATTTCTATCACTTAATTATCCATGAAACCATACTAATTAATCTTTCACAAGTCTTCACAACAACTCCGAGGCATGGCCCACTATGTCTCTCCTTTAAGTGTTATCTCCTCTCACTTAGTCAAATTAATTTTCCTTTATAAGAAACAAACGTTCATTTGTCTTTGGATCAAACTTTTTTATCTTTCCGACCGTTGGATTAATTTCTAGTTATTTTTTTATTACATTTGATTCCATTAGTAACAAGGGGCGGATCCAGACGAGTTGAGTTAGTGGGCCACAAATAAAATTTATAGGGTACCTTCTAATAAATAAATAAGTGCTAAACAATTTTATTTTATTTTATTTTATTTTATTTGTCGTCCAAAATCTAGAGATTCAATTGACCCTATCAAACTAATAGTCGGTGGTGGATAGTGATTCAAAATCAATAACCCATTTTTCAAATAAACCCTTTTTCTCTCAAACAAGACATACATAAGCATAATAATTATATATATACGCGGAAAAAGTCAATTTGATGTAGCAAATTGGATTTTCGGTGCTTTAGGGGTTGTTTGGACAGATATTCAGTCTACTTAGTAGCTTGGAGATATTTTTTTCAACAGCCATACTACGTTGAATTGGAAATTTGACAGGATATAATGATCGACAACACTTGTTATTCGTTCATTGGAAGATAGAAGTTCAAAAAAAAAAAAAAAAAAAACCAAGCAAAACAAACAAACAAATTAGAATTTGCCATTCATCCCTGTCTCATTTCCCTAGCTGAGTAGATTAATTTTTTTTTTTCAAACTAACGATGTAACGTGTTAAAGATATATCATTCGTGTTTCATGTTACATTATGGAGTGATATTTAGAGAATATTATTTAAAAAAATTTATACTACTTATTTATGATAAAAATATGCTTGGAGATAATAATTAAAAATGAAATTTAGCTTCTGTTTGGTTCCAGTGTTTTAAAATTCATTTTTCTCACAATTTATTTTCAACCACACATTTATGAAATTCACAACTTTAACGTTTGAACCATAAATTTCATCAACTTTTATCAAATCAATTAGACATAAGTTAATTATAACATGCAAGTACAGAAAAGCAACAAAGGAGCTGAAATTGTGGACATTGATTTAGGAATTGATTAGGATCCTATAAATAGAAAATTATAATAATTAAACACAAACTACCTTTCTGACTTTGGGGCATTATCTCTTGGTAGAGGCTCCAAAAAGTTGGTTTGAAACCCAAAAAAATTAGTGAAGTGAGCCTCTCAATTAATCTAAGTAGTTGTGCTCATTAAGGTTGTAAGTTTACATAAAGTTGTTAAGACTTGCAATAAGTGGCCAAGTACTAACTATAACGTTTACTCATTCTAAAGCTTCATGAATACTTTAGATATTCTTCAAATTTTGGGTTTGATTTACATCTTTAAGCTTACAAATGGACATAATGCAACAATATGTTTATGCATTAATTAAACTGATTTTGGTATCAAGTGTAGGATTTTTAAGATTTTCAATACCCACGTTTCCTGAAACGACACTTTGTTCAACTCCTTTCATTTATACTCCTAGCACGATTGCTACTTTGCTATATATAGACTTCCTCGACTACTCTAAGATAGATCGATCTTAAGAAGATCATAGATCGATCTTAAGAAGATCATAGCTTACTCCTCAGTAGCTCACATGAATCGACTATTGAAAGAAAATACCTCATTTAGGGTTATTTTTGTTAGATTGGTACACGTATTTGAAGCAACACTCCTCTTGGGAAACATGAATTTGTTCACTCAAAATTATGAAACATTTCGAACATGAAAGTCTTAACACCACAGCTCAAGGACACAAAGGAAGAGAGACAGGAGATAAGCACTTGGTCGAAATAAATGAATAAACTATTTCATTTAAAAACATAATCGATGACTTATTGAAATTGCATATTCAATAGATGCTCCATCACGTATAGATTGGGTTTATTTGCTAGTTGAAAGCTTGATTTGTGGATGGATGATAATAGCACAATTTGAACTCAGTATCTTCGTTGATTTTAATACTACATTGAATTACTTTGAAAAGTTTAAAATTATAAATAGCGGATAAATTTATTTATTTATTTAAATTGCGTATCGAACACGCTCGTATAAGTTTAGAATTTCATGTGCAGTGTGTGTCAAATGTCCAATCAACTTTCGAAAGCTTGTTGATTAATCAAGAAATGTTCTTAAACAATATGTTTTTCGTGTTAATGGTTTCCACCACCCAATATAAAACTCATTTAAGGACCTTAATCATACTTTCTTTATTGTTGATTGAAGTGATACGGATATTATCGTTTGAGATTGCCGAATCTCGAGTCGGGCCCACTAAGATGTGTTAATCAAGAAATTAAACCAATGGGAGCTTATTATATGTATTTTACCATTAGATTATTTGGCATTAATACAACCAAGTTAACTTTCTAATCAACTTTGTTCCCTTTATTAGAAGATTATTTGAGACATAATCCTATCATTTAACTTTTTTGTCATCTTTGTTCCTCTTTACAACCATTTACTTTGGAAGGATCCAAAAAGCAAAAAAAGATAAACCAAACCCTAAGGTAACTTTTAGTTTTCAAGTTGTAATCCCCTTTTTTGGATATGTTTCAAAGTATATTTGATTAATCCAAACTATGTGGGGGGGGGGGGGGGGGACCCCACATAATATAGTCCAAACACATTAGTTGGGAGACACATGCACATGCATTAAGAATATTAAATTCTATTTTCATTAATTTAATTTCGGAACTAAAAATTCTATTCCTCAAAACATATGTGACCATGTGGACAAGTTTAATTTGATGCAGCAAGGAGAATATGTAATAAATGCACTATGTTCATGTCAACATGTATATTGGCTATCCATTTTAAACTTTTCTTTTTCTTTTTCTATCTTTTCTAAACTTTATTGGGAAGAAAATTGATGGGGGTTGCAAATAATGTGAGTAATTAAATTGCTTTTCCTTACCAATAATGATATTAGTTTATGATTTAATTTATATGTTTTGGTTTACGAACTAATCGCTAAAGTTCATATCGTAGAAATATGACGAAATATGACTTTTATCAAAGGTGACTTGAGCAATTTAAAATTTTAGGTAAAAATCTTTTCAAGAGTAATAAAATACTATTTGAAGGAAGCAAATGGTTTGACAAGGATCTTTCATAAGTATGGTTCTTAAGCGGTCGTCTGTCTTACTTAGAAGTAGAATTGCAATCCTTTTGCTTTTTGTTCAATGCTATGTAGTAAAATTACGGTCTATTTGGGAGCGATTTTTTCACCCAAAAATTTGATTTTTTTACCGTTATTTCACCATTCCAGCCGTCATATTTGACTTCTTCTTTCATAGGTGGACCTCACTTTTTTCCTAACGATAAAAAAATCAATTCTCAAAATCACTCCCAAACAAGCTCTAAAAAGTCAAATGTTCTAGATTCAGACAAGAGATACTTTTTTTTTCCTTTTTTGCTTTATTTGATTTAGCCAATTTTAGAAGTGGAAATTGCTAGTTGGAGAACCTTTTGGATTGATATGAACAATTAGAACAAATTCCATAACCACTTGGAAACTTCATTGCTCTAATCAAAGTATAATAGAGATTACAATATCTATATATAAAGATGTCAAGATAATTTTAAAAAAATAATAATAATTCCAAGAAAAATAATTATATTTTTAAGTGAATGGTTCATGTGCTTTAGGTTCCATCTAATTTTAAAAAGAAAACTAACCCTATTATGGCTATTTCTTGTCTATTAATTATTTAATTTGGTAGTTCATTTTAGCAGCCAGTCTTCGGTCATTTGGGGCAGCCAAGAAGACCAAGATAACTTATTTATTACTGGACATTAAACAAATATGTCACATTGGCCGCCACAATTCAGCAATTGTATTTTTATTTTTTTTCCATTATTAATGAATTGTATTCGTAGTTTAAATATGACCTCAATGATTGGATGTTGGGTTTTATGTCCGTGGGAAGTCTTTACTTTCATATTCAAATAAGATAAAAGAAAAAATTAATTTTAAGAGGAAAGGCAACTATTCTGTAAAGTTACTTAAAAGTAACTTCATTTTTTAATTATATATTTATTTTTTTCCTTTTTGGACTCCATTAGGATGGTATTTGTCGCCCAAACAGGTTGTAATCCCGTTCACGTATTAACTTATAAAACAAAGGATAATTGCATTATCAACAACGAAAACAAAAACTGAATAGTAGTAATATTATTAACATAATAAAAGTAGTTGAATATCTAGTCAGTTATCAACAATCTCAACATTAAACAAAATTATCTGTCTTATTCTTAAGGTAATAGATAATTAAATAATAAGATGATATTTCATCGTGACTAAGAAAAGGGTATGTTGAAGTGTCGGTAAGGTGAATTAAACAATACTGAACTTCAAAGAAGATACTGTAGAATCAAGTAGCACTTGGATCACCAGATGGAACTCATAATATAAATTACAAATGTCTTAAAAAAAATATTATGTTACACAACAAGGAGCCTAAGGATGGAACAGGCCCAAGAATATAAATCTAACTACAAAATCCACTATATTTTCAAACATTTTACAGCAGTGAAATATCAGAAACCAGCCTCCAAAATAAACATACCAATCACACAATACAATGGGAACTTTATGTAACTACTGTGCCCAAATGTTTGCATGCAAGAATGAAATTTCATACCTTTTGGAACAAACAGGAAATTGCCTACTACTCACTTTTTTTCAGATCCTTTGAGGTTGAGATTGAACCATTTCTTCTTTGAAGACTTGTCCTTCATATCTGAACTGCCCTCTTCTCCGGGACTCTCGGATTTGAAATCACTACTTCCATTACTAAAATGTCCACTTCCACCTGTAGTAGCAACTGACCTTGAAACTGTAAAAGAAGAATGGACACTATCTCGTTGTTTGAGCAGCTCGTCAACCTGTTCGTGCAAAGCACGTGACCAAGTAAGTACCAAAGCCAATTTAAAGGAAACCAACAAAGGGAGAATCAGTAATCGAAAGTATAAAACAATAGATTGAATCAGTAATTATAACCAGTAGAGCCTGTCATCAAGTACAAATGGTGAAAATTTAAACATTTTACTCCAAAAAGAGAAGCCTAGCGACCATAATAACAAAAATTAAAGATGTGAACTATTGACCATGGATTCCCTATATACATCAATTCATGAATTCAGAACCACCTTAGTGCATTTTTGGCATAGCTTAAATTAGAATTTAAGTTAGTCAAATATGTTTATTATTCACACATTTCATAGAATCTACAATTTCCTATCCATTTATTATTCACACATTCTGTATGACTCATGGCTTATAAGCACTACCAAATAAGCAGTTAAAAAGACATTATACAAAAGTTAGCCCCCGTTTGGACCCCATTAAATTCCATTCCATTACATTCTATTTTTCTCTCTCCTATTTTCAACTACACAGTCTTTCATAAAATAATATTACACGTGAATTGAAAACTTTTCCTTCTTTTACAACCACTCATTTTTCAAAAAAACACTATTCCTCCCATTTCCATCACCAAAAAATGGGGGCCAAACGAGGTTTTAGTAGTAGGCCAAATAAATTGACATGGATGATGCAAGCATTACAAATTCAATTTAGAAATATCGAAGACCAACAAAATCTAATATTTGAACTCCAAGATGCAAGGAAGGCTAACATTTAATTAAATATACAATCATTTATTTTCTTCTTTAACCTTGTAGTTTCCACTCATCTCAAGTAATTGTGCACTGATTTCGTGGAAAATGAAATTCGGAGATGGAAACTAGGACTGATGCACGCATATTTTGACAATGGACCATTCAAAACACGAGAAGTAAACTTACAGACTGCTTTTCCTGGTTGTATCTATTGGTGACTTCTTGGAAGCGCGCTAAAGCCTGAAGATAACAACCAAACAGAACAATAATGCAGTAAGAGTTATGTGCACAACCCTCAATAGAAAACATCCGTAACTCTTGAATATTAAATTTTAATAAATAAATGTGCCGCCCCCTCTCTAATAGCTAAGCTTTTAGATGAGACAATTCCACATAATATCACAGCAAGCAAAAATTCTTAGTTCAAGTCTCGCCGCCACTCCATGAAAATTGGGCATGAGGGGATTATTGAGGACTAAACTAAATAAACAAACATGACCCCTCTCTAATAGCTTCAGCTTTCAAATGAGGAAAAGTAAATGGCTGGGAAAGGAAAGAAACCTTTCTATATTCTATTTCGAATTGGCGTAGCTCATTTCTCTTCCTCAGAATCTCAGCCTCAATATCCTTAAGCTTATGAGTCGTATCCTCGTAAGATTTAGCACAGAGTGCCTCAATTGTGTAGCTTGCTGTTTTGAAGAAATTATCTCCTGCATGATGGCCACAGGTGAGTTTAGAAGATTCTCATCTGTTCTGTAATAGTTACTAATATTACAAACCCAGTCTTTATAATAATAAACAGAAAATAAAAGCAATTCGGACCATAAACAGCGAATATGTGAGTGCCAGCTTTTAGTTCTGAGACCTCACAAGGTTGAAGGCCTTCCAATCTTTTGAAGAAAGCAGCTTCTGGATCCTTAGCCATTGCCAACTACATCACCACGTAAGCATATTAATCAGCAAGTAAAAATGTAAGCATCTTAATTAAAAAGGAAAAGTAAACAGACATACTGCATTTAAAGTTGAATCCATCCTGTACACTTGAAAATGTAAGAAATACATTCCAGCTGACGTAACCTTGCCTGTCTTCTCACTATCTTCCTGTGTAAGTTTAACAGTGTGCAGAAACATTCGGTGCCAAGGGGAACAGCCATAGATAAATAAACATTCAAAAAATATTGTGAAACACCTTACAGTAGCTAGATGATTTCACGTCTAGAAAGGAAACAGAATTCAGGCCCAACTGGTGATCCAAACACTTCAAAGAATATATTGAGACCAGATACTAAGTCTTTAAATAGGTTCATTTGAAATTATTGGACATTTAGTTATATCCGTAGGCGTGAGTGAACTACTAGAATCATACCATCCAATTAAAAGGCATGATCAGAGTATAGAAGCCTCAAAATTAGGGTGGATTATATCACACAAATTTAATCCATAAGCATGAAGATCTCAGACTAGCTAAATGACACGATTCTGATACCCAGCCAGATGGAACTATATACTCAATACTAGGCCAAAAAAACAAATCAAACAAGCTTAAACAACTAAAAAAACTAAGACAACAGCAATCAATAGAACAAATACATATTTGTCTGATTAGAACTTATTACATTTTAACATCACAAAATGGAAAGTTTAGAAATGACAATGGGACAGCAGAATATTTTCTATTAGGTCATTTAGCCGCTGTTTGAGCCCCATTAACCAATAATTCATCTTTTCTCACTCATTTTCAACCACACATTCTAATTTGCACATAAATCCAAAATTTCCTTACTTTTTAACCGCATCTTCTCCAAAAAAGCACTATTACAAAGTTCATTTTAACATAAAAATGGGGCTCAAACAAGGGCTTAGTAAGTGACGAATTTGTTACGATTGTAAGCTTGCCCTAAGTTTTTGCCTAAGTTATTATATTTTTTTTCTTTGAGCTGCCTCTTGTATATTATTCCTGAGGAAATTTTTCTGTAGATGAGACAAGGAGGAGATAAATCGAAAATAATAATTCTAAGGAAAATTTTGCAATCTATTAGCGCGTTTGGTTTGTTATTTCCAAACTATTTTATGTTTTCAATTTTGCAAAACACTGAAAACGTATTTGGTCTAGTATTTCTAAAAATACATGTTCGAAAATAATATGAAACTTGTAACATAAAACTCAAAATGCATTTTTGACGTTTTGAATGCTTCCAATGAAAATTCTAAAAACGCTCAAAATGGATAACAAGCATTTAAATAAATTTTTTAAAAATAAACATATAAGTTTTTAACAAATAAAATTCAAAAAATTTGAGAAAATAAATCTAAAAAATAAAAAATAAGAATCCTGAAAAAATAAAATTATAAATTTTTCTAGAAAAATAAAAAGTAAAAATAGTTCAAGCACTTAATAATTATTTAAATAGAAATTCTAAAAATATATTTAAATGAACACAAATTAAAATATTCTCAATCATGTCATTAATTTTTATTTTCTATATTTTGAACTCTAGTTATTATTTATTTTTATTTTACTTTTGTAGTGAGAAAAAAATATTATAAGATTCACCAACTTTAAAACAATTTTTCAAAATTTCAAACCAAACATGTTTTCAAATTTTCTGTTTTGGGAAATAATTTTCAAAATTACAAATTAAATGCATTTTTAGAAATCTTAAAACATACCTCAAAACAAAAAATTGAAAATGAACTCAAAACTGAAAGCTAAAATACAAACCAAATGGGCCCTAAATGATTTAAGTAAGCTAAGATGCAATGAATAGAGTGCTCTTTTATTAATAGTAAAGATAGGTTCAATTAGTATTTAAAAACAAAGGACTTGTAGAAGGATACAATGTAGTGGACTAGAGAGGATTGGATCAAAATGGAGAAGCAATGTAGGGATTTCGTAGATGCGCAATGTAAAAGGGTGAGTTCTACAAATCAGATTATATTAGCTATGCTTTACAGTATCAAATACACAGTGAAATACTAAATTCTATAAGATTAGGTAGTAACCAGCAAGATATTAAGATGGCTGCACAACCATACGATTTGTATAGGATTAGATAAATAATCACCGAGAATATATGCCAATAAGTGGAGGTATGTAACAATAATTGAGATAAATTAAGGGGAGAATTACTTAATGTTTAAGGCATGCCTTAGGGTAAACTTAAAGAAGCTCCCATTCACAAGAAAGTTGTAATCCTAGTAGTGTAGGTTAGAGAAGGGACCTAAATTAACATAATTTGATATAACTTCAAACATTTCACTAGACCTTTTAAGTAGACTAACACAGGAGAAAGTGAGAGGCAATGAGGATTCATTCAGCCAGTTCCAAAGTTTAGTAAGAATAAACTTAGCTTCTTGCTGTAATTTAACCCGTGGTTTTGGCATTCTGAAGAGGAAAGGTTACAATTGTGAGGAAACCGTGTGTTGGGCCTTCTAAAGTCAAAAGCTACATTCTAAAAAGTGTAAAGCCTACTCACCATTTGGTCCACACGTAATGCACAGCTAGGCCCCTAGGAGTGCAATTCCCAGACGAGAAAGAGAGAAGACAGACAGACGAGAAAGAAGAAAGTAAGAGAAGAGAAGAGGTGAAAGAGAAACTAGTTTTTATTCAATATTGAAGTACAACTATGACTGTGCATATGCCCGTTAGATTAGTTTAATCCATTTGGCTATAACCTTGCAACCCTCATCCCTGCCCCAGAACGGTTTTGGATGCCCCCCTTAAAGTAAACCCTAAGGCACTCCAGCAGCACATTTCAAAAACTAAGCTTGACAATCCCCATAAAAAAAGTTGCCTTTCTTCTTTCTCATTCAATAATTTGAGGACATGTCCAAGTTCAACTGCATAGTTAAGTAATCAGAAATTCTGATAGACAAATGCTGGGTAAGGGTTTATCTATGCAACAGCTCTTCTGTAACAATCGTCAATGAGAACAATCTAAACAAAGTAGTTACGAAACGTGGTTCACTTAACACTTTTATAAGTCAAGCTAAATATCCATCAAAACTGTAATTTATTTTTTAAACCAAATTTATTCAGAACTAGGCTGAGTGGGGTATTTAGCCAAATTTGCAACCTATAGCAGGCATGTGTAAACAAGTTGAACTGAGAATGAGTCTGGTCTAAGTTATTCCAGCATTGGTACAACTAAGATATGCAAGCTCCAAACTTAGGGAAATGAATGAATATTGCCGCTCTAATATTCATTCTATCCGATTGCCACGGGCAATTATCATTGTAGTGCCTGATTTTGAGTTAAATCTCATCTGTGGTGTAAGTTGTTTCAACTGACATAGAGAGAACATGTGTATATGAATTGTCAGAAATGACAAACTCTAATATCAATTAAGATATGTTGTTATTGTCAGTATAGTAAGTTATATCCAACATGTAAAGTACACATCAATATGTATTTACACTGCCCATTAAGCTATAGACCATATGTGAGACAAGACAAGGAAGAAAAATATTTGACAAACACAGCATTCTAACAGGCATTATATGTAGAAGTAATGTCCATCCTTGAACTAATTTGAAAAAACAGAAGTATAGGAAATTTTGAGAGCAACTTAGAAAATGAGAAATTAGCAATGTAACGCAGCTTGTGTTTAGACCGAAGTAAAAGGAACACGTTAATAAGACCTATAAGTAACATGTGCAAATAACTATGCACATACAGTGTCCATAAGCCAAAGCATCCTTTTTACCAACTTGGCTTTTAAGGCAGTTTTTTGCAGCCTAAAATTTGAAGGGTTTTTGGTGGTTATAAACACAATCTAGCCCTCTGCCCTTGCAACTAAATTACAATTCTCCAGTCACACAACTTTATGGCAGTAGGTTGGTGGCAGAAGACTTGCACCGCATAACTTCACTCTTTCTCACTTATATTTTTCTCAATTTCTTTTCTAAGTTATTATCTGTTATATTTTCATTCCTTTGCATCTTTCCATTTGAGGTTAATTATTTCATTTGTTTTTAGCTCAAGTTGTGGATTAAATATTAATGGTCTTGTTTATATGATTACAACTTTGTTAACTTGTAATTTGCTACTTTGTCGATTCATTTTATGTTTCTAGTTGCAAATTAAACTTTTAACTATGTTGACGTGTTTTATAATTGGTTTTTAGATGATTTACGGTTTGTTATGAATATAGTTAAGTATTTTCTAATTACTTATTGGTCTGTGTGGAGGGCGACTCATGGAGGCAAAACGTCTCAATACTAGATTTATACTTTAAACACTGATAATGCTCCTAGACCAAAGTATGTTAGGAGAAAAAAGGTCATTGTGCAACTAAATCTGTAGAGACAATAATTACCTGCAAGGCCAGGCCATACCCACCATTTGAATCATGCTCGAAGTACAGGAGCTGAAAATCACACATCAAAAGTTTTCAGTAACCATTTTTGCTGCATCTGCTTTGCACACCAAATTAAGTGGAAGAAGTGTTTTCTCCACAATTAATTGTCTATATACTCTACAACCAATATGCATGCACCTTAAATTTGCTCTGTGCAGCTGAAGTAACTCTAACTACAATCCCTTCTTCAGCTTGTTCTTCATTAATGGTTACACTAAAAAAGTGAGCACATTGCTTTTCTACCTGTGGAAAAAAAAAAAAAACAAAACAAAACTTAAACGAGCAAAACCAGGACAACAAAACAAGTCTTATTTAACCTGCAACATGGAATGTGTACCTTTCCACTGACTGAAGTTCCAATTGGAAGAGGTCTGACTGTAACAGTGCCATTTAAAGCATCTTCAAGAACATTAGCAGAAATTGTGGTCTTGATAGGAACGCCCAGTTTGCTATCCAAATGAAAATAAGTAAATAACTTACTTCTTAATTACAACAATACAAAAAGATCGAAAAGAGTACCTGAATAAAGCAGCAAACATTGTGTTAACAGTTCCGAGGTTTGATAGATCAATTTCCACATCCATTCCTTCAGTGTCAAGGGCCTTATTGAACCAATTGGGAGATGCAAAATAAAAACTAGTCAAAAAGCAAACAATTACTCGAAATATTAATGCACTGTCAGCACCCACCCCCATTTAGCTCAGGTGGAGTTGAGATGTGACGTGCCAATGATTGATGCTAGGTGCTAGACCTATCATCAAGGCTAAATGTAATCTAATACTACAAATCAATTATTTTACAAAAATTCTAAATCAAACTGAAAAGCAACTCAAATACTTCAACACGATGCATGATATAAGATGTCCCCTCTAAACTCATACTAATCAACTAAAAAGACACAGCAAAATCACATCCATCTTAATTTTTAAAAAAATAAATAAAATAAATAAAAAATAAAATAAAATGCATGAATTGACATAAGACACAACGAGCCCATAGTTGTCCCCACTGGAATCAAAATCTTTAGTTGGATCGCTACCATGTGGGGGGGTTCGATACAATACAAAACACCCATGTTATTTGCTGTAGGGTTCATCTTTTTGTTCACCATAGGAGGACTCACTGGAATAGTTCTGGCAAATAAAAGTTACACAAACTGAATAGAGCTGGGTTGACTCAGAAAGCAAAACATGCATGCAAATGTCCAGGTGACTTAATGTCAGCGTGGCTTGACTAAGAAATCAAAACACGCAAACAAATGTTTGTGAAGGAAAGAAAACTGCAATTGCCAAAAACCTTTTACCAACTGATGTGGTAGCATATGATGTACATTATCTTGTAAAATTTGAACCATGTGCATGAAACATTTTAACCATGAACCCGTTAAAAGGCTTTAATATTCATCTATGTATAGCTTTGATGACAAGAAATGATGCACACAAGTATGATGAGAAAATTAAGGCCCAAATCCATGCTTTAACCCTTATATATCCACATAATACAGAAGCGCGAGATCAACATATGTGCACACACACGCAAAGAAACAAGTGGCCATAATTTCTTAATAGCACCTCAACATATAAGTCCAATCTATGTTGTCCGAGGAGATATATAAATCCTAATTTTGGCACTGATAACAAACATGTCATATTTAACTAACCTTTGGACGCATTACTTTCACAAAAATTCTTATTTCTTTACAATTCTTAATTTAACAAAAAACTGAAGGTGATTAACTTCACCATATTCAAAAACTGGGCTTCACCATCCAAGTTTTTAAATAAAATTGCAAACCATTGAAAACAAGCATGCAACACTTTAATCCATATATATATATATATATATAGATAGAACATGGTAGTGTTTTCCAATCAAATACTCCATGTGCACTTCTGTTTAAAATTTATTCTATAATGGTAGTAGAACATAAAAATATTAGAAACAGGCATTCTACCACAGTAATAACCTACAATCATTTTGGTCAAGCTACTTCATAGAATCACATCCATGACCATGAGCATATTACACACTTGTAGCATCCGGTTAATGGGAGGTAATTTGCCTAATTCTAGGATTAAAAAGTTGATTATTTGCATAGTTCAAAACTAGCAGAACCCACGGAGGAGTATTACACGACTATTCAAACAGACGTGGAAGATAAGTATTACCTCAAATCCAGCATTATCGTATTGCCTCTTTTTCTCTGGATCAGATAAAATGCTATAGGAATATGCAACCTCCTTGAAAAGATCTGAAGCTTCAGGATTATTAGCGTTCTTGTCCGGATGGTACCTGTAGATAACAACTAGTTATCTGATCCATGAAATCTATATGAACTACTCGATCCACATTCTCTCTTTCCTTCAAGTTTACTGCTATGCAACTTTGTGTTGGAACGAAGGACCATCCGCAAATGCCTTAAGACATGCAACAACTTTGTTATCACTATGCTGTGAAACTTCGAAAGTCTATTTACCATTCTTAATACCAGAAATTTCCTCATTACCATTGACTAACAAACATATATCCTATCCAAGCTCTCAAATTTAAGCAATCTTGAAATAAAACACCCTCGACATATCTGGACAGAAACCCTTACCTTTTCTTCCTTTTATCCTTTTGTAATTTTAACTCAAGAAAAACATTAACAGACTCAGCTGCAACTTTAACAGAAATTGGGCTTATGACCTACTGATACTTTTCAGAAGAACTCTCAAACAGGAAGGCTAAAAATTTATCACTAATTAAAATAAGAATTCTTAAACTGTGAAACCTGTTAACCTATATATTGCCAGTAAACATGATGAAAACAAAATTCGACCTTATCACCATGATGAAACCCATCTGTTTAACAAAATTGCATGCACAAGCATAAGGAAAGACCACAAATTCTTAAAAATAATTATCAAACTATCCAACTTCACCAATAATGAAACACACATTTGCAGAAAATAATCTACATACTCAAAACTCAAAAGATGAAAAGAAGAAATTGAAACTCACTTGAGCGCAAGCTTTCTATAAGCAGTCTTGATTTCTTGATCAGAAGAATCCCTTGACACACTCAACACCTCATATGGATCCCGGCGTAATGCAGGTGCTGAAGATCCCTCCATCTTCGATCCGCCCATTTATTTCGCTCCTTAATTCACCTCTTCTATACCCTTCTTTCAAAATTTTCTTCCCCTTTCACCAAAGTTTGTATCCTTTATTTCCGGCAAAATTGACCTTCTTGTCTGTTAGCTATATTATGTATACCAATCAGACTAAAATCCTGTCTACAAATGAGCAAGCATAACAAATTTTCAAGAAACAAATTTCATCAAATACAAAACCTAAATCGTTACGAAAAAAGAGCCAGATTTGGGGCATGGATTTCAATCCATTGGATCACTTCAAATTTTTCCTGGGATTAACGCAAAATTATTCGGTAATTAATCGGTCTCAACAGTGAATAATTAAAAAAATTACTGAATAAGATCTACCACAGGGAGGATTCAAATTATTAATAACACACATATACGCATATGCTTGGATAGATGTAAACATAATTGAATAAAATAAAATTTTGGTTTTGATAACATTACTTACGGTTATTTTTCTTGATTTGCTTCTTCCTCTTTTCCCCTTGCAATGCTTTCAGCTAAGCAGAAAAGAAATAACAAAATTGCTGTAATATTTATGTGCGAATGAGTTTTACTACTCAGAAAAAATAGGATCGTCTGCGCGCGAGTGCATTGATAAGGTGTCAATTGTCAAAGTTTGAAATTTTGAACTCTTCCTTTTTATTTATTTATATTATATTATATTATATTATATTTTGATATTGGTATATTTATGGCATATTTTAAATTTTAAGCACTTGTTTGGTCCGTGATTAAAATTTTTAATATATTTTTCATTCTTTTCTTTTCAATCACACATTCTCTAATAAAATAATATTACACATAAATCAAAAAAATATCTTTCATTTTTAATCACACATTTTTCAAAAAATTTCTATTTCAAAATGCATTATTCTCAAAATCGCATTAAAATGTTGGACAAACAATTGTGGTAAGTATGGTGAAATTATGAATGGATCAAGTCGAATGTGAAAATAAAAGTTTTCTTTTTCCATCCTTTATTTTTTTTATTCTTTCTTTGTATTTTTTGTTCGAAATTCTATAAAAGATGAGAAAGAAGACATGCAAGAAATAAGAAAGGACGTGTCTTGGATAGAGATGGCAATCGGGCTCGTCGGCTCGAGCTGCCGGTGGCTCGACTGGAAAAAAAACTCGACCTGCCCAGCTCAAGGCTCGGAGAACCGAGCCGAGGCTATGGTCGAGCCCCATTTTGGAGTGTCAGGCAAAGCCCGAGCCTGCCCGTGTGGCTTGCCGACTTGGGTTCACAAGCCTATATTTAAAATAAATAAATAAATAAAATACAAAAAAATATATGTTTTAAAGACAGCGTGCTGTTGCCTAAAATAGGCAGCAAGTTGCTGCCCAGTTCGACTTGGAAAGACCGAAGCCGAAAGTAAGGGTCGAGCCTAATTTTTTTGGCTCGTGTCTCAAATTTCGACTCGATTCGTTGACATCTCTAGTTTTGAGTATGAAAAGAGTTTAGGAATAAAGGAAGCAACTACTACTGTAGGAGGAGTGCATATCATGCATAGCGATTAGCAAGTATGATAGAAAAACTCTTAATTTCGTGTTTTTCTGATATGCATAGGTGTCGAGCTTATCGGTCCAGATATTTCAATATCCAAAACTATTCATTATAGTTCGGGTATTTCGTAAAATAAAACCATTCAAGTCAATGTAATTAAATTACTGGAACCAAACTCAAACCTTAATCGTTGATTCTAGTTCGGGTTTGATTATACCATATCTATTAGACCTGACCCAATCAAGGTACTGGGTCATCGAGTTCGCATTGATAAGGTGTCAATTGTCAAAGTTTGAAATTTTGAACTCTTCCTTTTTATTTATTTATTTATATTATATTATATTATATTATATTTTGATATTGGTATATTTATGGCATATTTTAAATTTTAAGCACTTGTTTGGTCCGTGATTAAAATTTTTAATATATTTTTCATTCTTTTCTTTTCAATCACACATTCTCTAATAAAATAATATTACACATAAATCAAAAAAATATCTTTCATTTTTAATCACACATTTTTCAAAAAATTTCTATTTCAAAATGCATTATTCTCAAAATCGCATTAAAATGTTGGACAAACAATTGTGGTAAGTATGGTGAAATTATGAATGGATCAGGTCGAATGTGAAAATAAAAGTTTTCTTTTTCCATCCTTTATTTTTTTTATTCTTTCTTTGTATTTTTTGTTCGAAATTCTATAAAAGATGAGAAAGAAGACATGCAAGAAATAAGAAAGGACGTGTCTTGGATAGAGATGGCAATCAGGCTCGTCGGCTCGAGCTGCCGGTGGCTCGACTGGAAAAAAACTCGAACCTGCCCAGCTCAAGGCTCGGAGAACCGAGCCGAGGCTATGGTCGAGCCCCATTTTGGAGTGTCAGGCAAAGCCCGAGCCTGCCCGTGTGGCTTGCCGACTTGGGTTCACAAGCCTATATTTAAAATAAATAAATAAATAAAATACAAAAAAATATATGTTTTAAAGACAGCGTGCTGTTGCCTAAAATAGGCAGCAAGTTGCTGCCCAGTTCGACTTGGAAAGACCGAAGCCGAAAGTAAGGGTCGAGCCTAATTTTTTTGGCTCGTGTCTCAAATTTCGACTCGATTCGTTGACATCTCTAGTTTTGAGTATGAAAAGAGTTTAGGAATAAAGGAAGCAACTACTACTGTAGGAGGAGTGCATATCATGCATAGCGATTAGCAAGTAGGATAGAAAAACTCTTAATTTCGTGTTTTTCTAATATGCATAGGTGTCGAGCTTATCGGTCCAGATATTTCAATATCCAAAACTATTCATTATAGTTTGGGTATTTCGTAAAATAAAACCATTCAAGTCAATGTAATTAAATTACTGGAACCAAACTCAAACCTTAATCGTTGATTCTAGTTCGGGTTTGATTATACCATATCTATTAGACCTGACCCAATCAAGGTACTGGGTCATCGAGTTACTGGTCGGACCGGTGGATCATTACTTAAAAATAATTTAATTGTTTTTAAAGTATAATTTTATATTTTGTTTGAGACAAATAAAAATTTCAAATTCCTTGTCAGTTGTCACTAATTATTTTTATACATTTAAAACATTTTGATTTTATAATTTTATATATAATATTAAAAAGTATATTTTCCCTTTTTTTAGTTATTGACCAAAAATTTATGTGTATTATCTATTAAATTTATCATAGTTAAAATTAATTTTTTTTCAAATAAAATAATTATTTGATATTACAAAATGAATGAAAATTTGGACTAATTTTTTAAAGATATTTCTAGAAGATAGCAAATTATTTATAGGTTAGATATAGATTTTATTACACAAAAGACAACAGAGTGTTGGATGCTCTAATGGTAAGTTCATGCTTTATTTAGCCACAGATCAAGTGTTCAAATCTTTGGCCCTTAATATTTCAATGGAAATTTTTTTAAAAATTTGGATCAATCGGGTCGCTCCGTCCCAACAATTAAATAAAACGATCTAATTGACCCGGTCAAATCCGATTTTTGACTGGGCCACTTGTATTTGCATAAGAGGAAATTACATCATTCCAGAGTTTTCAAGTTCACCGTTCATAAATCATGGGCTCAACTTTTCTAATCAAATATTCGGTATAACCCTAACCCTAAAATTGAAATTCATTTTACTCCATCCTTCATTTTTTCTCTCTGGTTCACAAGCCTATATTTAAAATAAATAAATAAATAAAATACAAAAAAATATATGTTTTAAAGACAGCGTGCTGTTGCCTAAAATAGGCAGCAAGTTGCTGCCCAGTTCGACTTGGAAAGACCGAAGCCGAAAGTAAGGGTCGAGCCTAATTTTTTTGGCTCGTGTCTCAAATTTCGACTCGATTCGTTGACATCTCTAGTTTTGAGTATGAAAAGAGTTTAGGAATAAAGGAAGCAACTACTACTGTAGGAGGAGTGCATATCATGCATAGCGATTAGCAAGTAGGATAGAAAAACTCTTAATTTCGTGTTTTTCTAATATGCATAGGTGTCGAGCTTATCGGTCCAGATATTTCAATATCCAAAACTATTCATTATAGTTTGGGTATTTCGTAAAATAAAACCATTCAAGTCAATGTAATTAAATTACTGGAACCAAACTCAAACCTTAATCGTTGATTCTAGTTCGGGTTTGATTATACCATATCTATTAGACCTGACCCAATCAAGGTACTGGGTCATCGAGTTACTGGTCGGACCGGTGGATCATTACTTAAAAATAATTTAATTGTTTTTAAAGTATAATTTTATATTTTGTTTGAGACAAATAAAAATTTCAAATTCCTTGTCAGTTGTCACTAATTATTTTTATACATTTAAAACATTTTGATTTTATAATTTTATATATAATATTAAAAAGTATATTTTCCCTTTTTTTAGTTATTGACCAAAAATTTATGTGTATTATCTATTAAATTTATCATAGTTAAAATTAATTTTTTTTCAAATAAAATAATTATTTGATATTACAAAATGAATGAAAATTTGGACTAATTTTTTAAAGATATTTCTAGAAGATAGCAAATTATTTATAGGTTAGATATAGATTTTATTACACAAAAGACAACAGAGTGTTGGATGCTCTAATGGTAAGTTCATGCTTTATTTAGCCACAGATCAAGTGTTCAAATCTTTGGCCCTTAATATTTTAATGGAAATTTTTTTAAAAATTTGGATCAATCGGGTCGCTCCGTCCCAACAATTAAATAAAACGATCTAATTGACCCGGTCAAATCCGATTTTTGACTGGGCCACTTGTATTTGCATAAGAGGAAATTACATCATTCCAGAGTTTTCAAGTTCACCGTTCATAAATCATGGGCTCAACTTTTCTAATCAAATATTCGGTATAACCCTAACCCTAAAATTGAAATTCATTTTACTCCATCCTTCATTTTTTCTCTCTCCCTCTCGTCTTTCGCTTACTCTCTCTCTATCCATCCCATCTCTCTATCCTCTTCATCACACGAGCAGCCACCGTTGCCAGAGACCACAGCATCATAACGATAACCTCTTCCAAACATGTGAGCGTCGTTGCATAGTGACTTGCAACGCCGTCATCGCTGCAGATACCGTGAAGAGCGGTGATGATTGCCGTCACTCGAAGCAGATGTGACGTACAATCGGACCTCAACATGGTCGTCGATTGGTTGTCTAAGCGGATAGAAAAACTCTTAATTTCGTGTTTTTCTAATATGCATAGGTGTCGAGCTTATCGGTCCAGATATTTCAATATCCAAAACTATTCATTATAGTTTGGGTATTTCGTAAAATAAAACCATTCAAGTCAATGTAATTAAATTACTGGAACCAAACTCAAACCTTAATCGTTGATTCTAGTTGTGATTTTAAGGTTTTGTTGGTTGTATTTTCAGATCTTGGTCGTGGTTGTGGTGGTGATGTTGGTAGTAGGATCTGATTGCTGGTGGTTTTGGGGGGATGTGGTTGTAATGTTGGTTGTTGTGGTGGTCGCGGAAGTGGTGGCAGTGGGACACCGTAGGATAGGAATGTTTGTTGTTAGTGGTTGTGGTAGTGGTGCAGTGATAGTGGTGTTTCTAGTTAGTGGTACTGTGGATA